AATCGGCACTGATCGACTGGATAGTTTGCATGCTCAGTACACGAATAATAAAGATTGCTGGTGAATCTCAACCAATCCTAATTAAGAAAGGTTGCCCGCAGGGTGGGGTCCTCTCACCTCTCCTGTGGAATATGGTCATTAATGAACTCATCAGCAAATTAAATACTAATCACTTTTATACAGTAGGTTATGCTGATGACCTGACTATACTGGTCTCGGGAAAGACAGCTAGCATAGTGTGCGACCTGACCCAAGCGGCTCTCCGTATAGTGGAGAGATGGTGCAGGGAATACGACTTAACCGTCAACCCAAATAAAACGGTTTTAGTAATGTTCACACAAAAACGAATGCTGAATAACTATCATCTTCCAAGTCTTTTCAGCACAAAACTCCAGCTATCCTCTGAGGTAAAATATTTAGGTCTTACCTTGGACAGCAAACTTAACTGGAATAAACACATAGAAAACAAAATCAACAAAGCTAGTATAACTTTCTGGCAATGCAGAAACATGATTGGCAAAAGATGGGGACTGACGCCAAAAATCATACTGTGGCTTTACAAAACTGTAATCCGGCCCATGATCACATACGGCGCTCTGGTATGGTGGACCAAGACCAATGAAGCCACCACAATTAAGAAGCTTCAGCGCTACCAGAGACTGGCATGTATGGCTGCCACAGGCTGCATAAGAACTACGCCAACAGCAGCCTTGGAAGCGATGCTGGAGCTAACTCCGCTTCATCTACATATACAACAGGAAGCGACTTTAGCTGCCATCAGACTCAAGACCCTAAATCTTTGGAGTAAGAATAGTGTCCCTCATACAGGCATAATTGATAGAATTTACTCAGAAATTCCTATCCTACAAGCCAAATACGATAGGATTCCTAAACAATTTGTTTTCGATAATAAATACAAGATAAAATTAAATTAAAACAGCCAGCCGGAAGGATTAAGCCCAAAAGAGCTTAGAATTTTCACCGATGGTTCTAAAACAAATGAAGGTGTAGGTTCTGGAGCTTTCTCTGAAGACCTCAATATTCACATATGCACACCGCTGGGTACCTATAACACGGTCTTTCAGGCGGAATGTATGGGTATCATTCAAGCGGCCATAGCAATAGATGCTAGGAAGGTTAATGACTTCCCCATCAGAATACTGACCGACAGTAGGGCGGTACTACAAGCTCTGAGTTGCAATGGGGTGAACTCGGGACTAATATATGAATGCCATCAACGATTAAATGAGGTATGTAAAAACAACAATGTGACTCTGCAATGGATAAAGGGACACAGTGGATCCAGAGGCAACGATGCAGCGGACGAACTGGCCAGAAGAGGATCGGCTCTGGCCACTATAGGGCCGGAACCAATCATACCAATCCCCTTTGGTAACGTTCGTTCAATGGTACGTAGACACTTCACTAATCAACACGCTCAGCTTTGGAAAAATCTAGTAGACTGTAGACAAGCTAGGGAGGCCCTACCTGTAATAAACAGTCGCTTAACCAAAGTTCTAATGAGACTGAACAAGCCGCAGATCAGGATAGTAACTAGTGCTATCACAGGACATGGCACCTTTAACAAACATTTATTTACTATAGGTGTTACAGATAGTCCCCTGTGCAGGGCATGTATGGGGAGGAAGAAACGGCGGCCCACGTGCTACTGAAATGTCCGGAGGTCGCTATGTACAGGGCTAAACATCTCGGCACGCCGGGATCACTCCCCGAAGTTGCATGCAACATCAAGGGACTGTTGAGCTTCTTCGGGGTGATCTCATAGCTCGAATAATCACATTATTCCTGCCCACACGTAAAATACGCGCACAGACGTGGAGTTGCGGAAAACAGCCCGTCGCAAACTAAACTAAACTAAACTACATCATCATATTTTGCCACAATAAACTCGACAGACTCCTGTAATTTAGCATTTTGTTCTTTGATTTGTTCTATTAGCGACTGCAAAGACAGAAAGTATTGTTGCTGTTTCTTTTCAAACTCCCCAAACATACATAAAATTTCTGATTTGAATGCTAACATTTCTGATTCTCCAATTTCTTCTTTTCTTCTTTTGCTGCGTTTTGACACATTAGAAGTAAGTTCTGAGTCAGACAACGTTGGCACTTTCGTATTATCAGCTTGCGCTGCTAGCAAGGTAGATTTCGAGCCAGATTGCGTCGGTGGCGGCATGCGGTCGACAGGCATATTTAAAACAAAGTACGAAATAACAGGCTTATAATATGTGCAACCGTAAATCAATTATCTACTATTTTAGATCTTATTGCAATAGATATACAGTGTTCACTACACAATAGCTTTAGGGATCTCACTTACTGGGTGACAATCGAGGTTTTCATACAACTTCACAAGTCGACCAGTCTTAGTTGACCTCTTCAACAGCTTCCATGCGATACTGTATTTCTTTCTTCGTTGTACACAAAATAACACAACGCTTATCAAGTAGAACGCAACGAAGATACATTTGTTTCACTTTACCCTATGACATTAATTAGATAGTTCCGTCTTCCTCCACCTTTAAAGGGATCCGAGTGTTAATGGAGGGGTACAGGCCGGTAATTGTTTATGAACCCTTGCAAATTCAATAAGCAAGCGCTTCATTCTTTAACACCTCCTTGCCTTTTCTGCACTCCTAATATTATGACTTTATTTAAACTTGTTAAATAATTTATATATTTTTTAATGAAATATACGTATTTACTTAAACACGTCTGTACACCTCAGAGATCCGCGGGGGAAGTCCAATTTATGGTTAATTGTATTTGTTAATTTTTTTACTGTTTACTGCCGCTACCACGTGGCTGCCATTTCTATATGAAAATCATAGATTAGGACGCACGAAACTACCTACTACCGGTTTTGATGGTTCTTTTTTAATTCAAATTAGTAATACTTGGAATCATTTATTTTTATTACTTATTTTATTTAAACGATATATTATAATCCAACCATGTTTAAAATATCTAAAGAAGTCTTCAATATTGTTAATGTACTTTTAGAAGTACGGGACAGCCACTAATTTTTACGACGAGTAGATTAATTTCCCTTCGAATTTTTATACTCTTTTCAATATACCTTATATAGTACTCACTAATTACAGAAAGATTTATATCAATTTTAATGTTGAGGGTTGGCCATTCTTCACTGCTTGTTTATTCCATAGGCACACGACACCTTCATACCTTGTTGAACTAAACACGTAAGCGACGCCGTTTCGGCGGCGTTTACGACTTTTTTCTCGCGAGCATTGAGCTATAATGCTTCTTATATTATTTTCTCCCATGTTAAATCTTATGAACTTATGTGTCTGTCTGTTTTTCATTTCATAGACTTTCAAATCACAACGATGCTAAAGAAGTTTTCACTTCAAAAACTTCTCCAAAAGTTGCATATAACTAAACACAAATATGTCTATTTGTTTTTTAACATGGTTACACCCATAAAAAAGTTAATCACTTGGACCAAGACAATCCGTTTGTGGCTGAAGATAAGGACTCATATACAACAAATTTAGTCACAGTAGAGAGCAGTCAAGAGGTTTTTCAGAAAACGAAGTTACAATGATTGACATGAAATTGTTCCATATACCACTTTCATAGCAGAGTTTAGGGCAACCAGACTTTATAGATAAGATTGGTCAAATCTTTTCTAAAATTGAATCATCACGCCTCAACTCCACATATTCTTGTCTGCCCTACCTATAGTGTTTTTGTAAAGCCGCAGGCGCAGAGGAAGTGCAGCTCCCGCCTGCCGAAGCAAATTGTAGATACCTGTGCGAGCCGTAGTAGCTAAGGCTGGTAATAAGCCAAGGTTGTGGAGGTGAGTATGTGTGCCTGCAATTTACTACGCAAGGGCAAAGGGGCTGCACTTTCTTCCTAAGCTGTTGCAGAAGTAAATTTGGGTCAATATTCCTGTGTTAAAAGTATGGTTATAATTTTACAAAAAAAAATCAACAGTACCGACTCCTCTCTCACCACCCCCTACACTAGTAACACATGTCTACAGTTCTGTTACTTCTGCAACAGCTTCAACGGTGCGGGAAGTGCAGCCGCTTCGCCCTTGCGTAGCAAATTGCAGGCACCCATGCTCACCTCCTCAGCTTTGGCTTATTGGTCGACTTCGACTAGCCTCAGCCGCTACGGCTCGTCGATGCCTACAGTATTCTACAGCGGGTGGAGGCTAATCTCCTTCCGCGCCTATGGCTTTACAAAAACACTCTAGGGGTAGGGCAGACAAGACTATGTGGAGTCAGGGCGTGCTGTTTCAGTTTTAAAACAGATTCGACCAAACTTAACTTATCTATAAAGGTCGCCCTAAACTCTGCTATGATAGTGGTAAATGAAACAATGTAATGTGAATTGTTATAATTTTGTTTTCTAAAAAACTTTTTAACTGTTGTCCACTGTGACTCAATTTGTTGTACACAAGTCCCGCATTCAGCCACAAATGGATTGTCTGGGTCCGAGTGATTAACTTTTTTATGGGTGTATCTGTGTTAAAAAACAAAATGACATGTTTGCATCTCATTATATACAATTTTTAGTGAAATTTATTTTTTTTGTAACTAATACAAAAGGCATTTCCAAAATCCAACAACAGTGTAAAAGGTTCAAACTGAAAATCCTGACAATCCTCCTAAATTGAAAACCAAAATTAAAAAATTAAGTACCGGACGTCTACTTCATAATACTAGACCAAATTGACATTTGTGTGTTGTTATACTCTATTTTAAGTGAAACTTATTTTTATCATAGTTATTTCAAAACGCATTTCCGACATCTTAAAATAATGTAATAGGTTAACTAGCCTAACAAGCCTCCTAGACTAAAAACATGATTAAAATCAAGTACCAGATATCTATAGTCAACCCCAAATCACACACTCCACATGTGCTCAGTATACCTAAAATGGGGTACAAAGTTTTACTTTCACATATTAATTCAAATAGCTTGTATTAACAAACTTTAATTTTTACTTACAGCTTTCAATTTTCTCTTCTCCTTTGCTGCAGCCATTTCTGCTTTAACTCTCTTTATGTCTTCTTTTTGTTGTTCTGTCAATGATGCTTGATACATTTCTTTAATTTTTTTGTAATCCTCTAGATCTTTTTCATATTCTTTAACCATTTGTGTTTTTGTCTACAAATTATAAATAAAAAATTATATATGTGTTACATATTTTTTTTCAGTCAACTACCACAATAAATTGTGGGTATAAATTTGGCTAATATTGTAATACTACAATATTAAAAACAAATTTTTGTGTGTACTGTAATAAAAAGTGATTTTTACACCTCACTATCTAGTTCCTGCCAATGTTTAGAACTCCATACAATAGCCTCTTTTGATGTGATTCCAGGATTTTTAGCAATAAGTGCCGGTCTCATTTGTGTCATGAATTTGAAGAAAGGGGTCAATGGTCTTTTCGGCTTCTCTATTCCCAATCTATCTTCAGCTGATTTCTTAGTATAACTACATACAGGTACAGTATTTAACCAATTCTTCCTACAAATGCAAATAATATTAAAACAATAACCATTCAATTCCGATTAAAACTAAGATTTACAAATAAGTATTACAAAAGTACTCGTAGTAAGTACACTTATAAATAGTGAACTTGTTTACATGACTTTTTAAATTAAAAATTTCAAAGGGAGGATATATTAAATTGATTGCCTTAATAAATTAGGTACAATGATGTGGTTAAAAAAACAAAAAATAAATATCATAAAATAAAAATAATAAATTATGCGTCATAACCTCACCTTGGGTAAAGAACTGTTTTATAACTCCCAACTATGTAGTTACTCAGTCGACATATTTGAGTAAATGAAGACATTATCTGAAACTCCAACTTATGTATTTATAATATTGTAATATGCTTTTCGTATTTTGAGAACCGCAATTTATTTTTCCAAAGTATGTACATAAGGTTATATTTACTATACGGCAGTGTTGCCACCTTGCTGAAAAATTTATCACATAGATTACTGTATAATTTATCACTGGTTATGGTCTGAAATTTCATCAGATTTTGGGATATTTTTAACTAAACTCTGATTTTTCATTCCGTAGAATTCTGACATTTCGTAAGTGTTGCTACTAAAAAAAGTTCTCCACCGAAAAAGAGACAAATTTGAACCATTTGAGGGCAATAAATAATAAAATGCTACGTATTTTTTATGTTTCACCTACAAAAAGGTAAATCTAAATATTTACTTATACAAGTCACCTAATACAAAAATAACAAATATTTCAATATCACGAACAATATATCTAATTAACTTTAATTACTTAATATTTTATTCTTTAGCTGGCATCACTGTCTACTAATTCCAGGTTTAAAAAACCTTTTAAAAAAATGTTAGCTGTCACGTCGCGTCTGTCACATTGATTGATTTTCATTCGACTTCTTTGAATGCTCGAATGCGCATGTGTTCTCGGTGTTTGCTGCTATTTGTTGTTATTATCTTGTTATATTTGTTAAGTTTCTGTTATTCTGTTAAGTTTTTTCTTGTTGACCTTTCGTTTTGTGATCGTTTGTTGATTTTTATAAACGTTATGGAGCCACAACCTGGCCCTTCCCGGGAAGCAGCCCCATCTGACAGAGCACAAGGCTTAGACTTTCTTTCTCCCAGAAAGAAGCGTCCTCGTGGTGCTTTTACGCCCAACGAAAAGACCATAATTCTAAATATTTACAAATATAATATAGAAAATTGGCCGCAAACAACTGATTGGAGTGCAACGGAATGTGCTAAAAAGACTTCTGAGATGACTGGCGTGGGTCTGTCAAGTGTCTATAAAATTACCAAAGAATATAAAGACACAAAAGAATTTCAAAAGCCGAAAAAGAGTGGACCTCAACTATCTTTCATACAAAAATTTGACGAATTCACTTTCGCCGCAACTCGACGAAAGGTTCACGCGTTTTTCTACAGGAACGAGATTCCGACTATTGAAAAGGTAAAGTTATTGCTAATTCTTTAACACCTCGTTGCTGACATCCCCCATTGTTTTAAAACTATACTTTAACCTGTGTTGCCTGTCTACATTTTAACTGTAATGTAAATGCTTATTTCAGATTCACCAAGAGATAACTGGTGATCCAGACATGCCTGTTATGTCGAAATCAACATTAAGAAAAGTATTGAAGCATTTAAATTTTAAATACACAAGTCGCAAACGTCGAAGTGCGCTAACAGATCGCAAGGAGATAGTACTATGGCGTCAAAAATACTTGCACCAAATTAAACAATATAGAAGAGAAGGCAGGCTTATATATTACCAGGATGAAACGTGGGTAAACGAAGGCAAGTATTGAATTATGTGGTAATTAACTTTTTATAACCTATCTTTTCTTCAAAGTATTAGTCGGAAATCGAATTCTGTACTTATGTAATACTTAAATTAACTTTGTTAATAAATTTTTGTTACCAAAATGAATAAATAAATAAAGAAATCCATGTTTACAGGTAATATTTTTCAATTTATATGCATATATAACTGTCCTCATGTATAAGTGAAATATTAAATATATTTTTATTTTCAGGACATACCGTCAATAAAGTGTGGTGTGATACCAACATTCAATCTTCACGACAAGCTTTCCTCGATGGCTTGACAACAGGGCTTAAGGCACCAACAGGCAAAGGGGGGCGACTTATAGTTAGCCATATAGGGAGCGAAGAAGGATTTTTTGGAAGATGGTTTATTAGTTTTTGAGGCAAAAAAAAGGCTTGGCAGATTACCACAAGGAGATGACTGGGGAAGTATTTGAGGAGTGGTTCACAAAAATACTTCCAAAATTAAAACCAAACTCGGTAGTAGTGTTGGATAATGCTCCCTATCATTTGAGGAAGGTCGAAAAAGTACCAACGAGTGCATGGAGAAAAGGCGATATCCAAGCGTGGTTGACTTCAAAAAATTTAAATTTTGAAGAAAAAATGCTAAAAGTTAATTTATTGGAAATTGTGGGTCAGGAGAAATACAAATATCAACAGTGTATTGTAGACGAGATGGCCACAGCACAAGGCATTACTGTGCTTAGACTGCCCCCATATCATTGTGAGCTCAACCCTATTGAATTGGTGTGGGCTCAAGTGAAGGGGCATGTCGCAAGACACAACAGAAGTTTTAAAATGGCGGAAGTTAAAAAACTATTACTGGAAAGTATAAGTAGTATTACTCCTGATAAATGGCAAGAATGTATCAGCCATACAATCAAAGAAGAAGATAAGATGTGCACTCTCGACGATTTCATTGACACAGTCGCAGACTCTTTAATAATTCATGTCAGCGATGATGACGATGATGAAGATAGTGATATAAGTATTAATGATGACTAAAGATTTTAATAAAAATATGTTATTTTTACTTGTGCATTTTTTACTGTTTGTAATGAAAAGGGACGTAATTATCACTCGCCGTAAAACCATGTAGAGTACCGCACTTAATAAAATGGATACATTTACTAACAAATAAAATGTATGTATAGACTCAGATGTTCAGACACGTATTGAAATTGAAAAATGTGCCCGGCCAAAAAGGTTTGTAATCTCTGACATGTCAAAAAATGATAGCTGTCAGAATTCTACGGAATGAAAAATCAGAGTTTAAAAAATCCCTAGAATTCACCAAATTATTTAAAATCAAGTCACAAGGTAAGTAATAAAAATACTATTTTAATTCTGTTAAGACAAAAAAGTTATGAAAAAAAAACGTAACATATAAAATCGTCACAGTTTCTCTAACGGACAGCCAACGGGTATCACAAGAGTGCAATGTTTTTAAAGGATGCTCGCCACAATTTATTGTCTCATAAGTATATATCTTTGTACTATATCAAACTAGCGTTTGGGTGAATGTGAGAACCAATTATAAGTTTCTCTAATGAGAAAATCTATATTACGTGATAACGTTTACTCTGACGCATGTGAACAGCTAATTGCAACGAGTGGTAAACGCATTTTACTAGAATTAAAGTAGGTGTGCCATTATTAATTCGAGTCATGATAAAGCCATTATCAACCCCAATTCCAATTAAGTTTTCTATTAGAAGACCATGTAAACAGTTTACCAAGGCAGTAAAAATTCCACGAGATCCGTGTTTCTCAGTAGTTATAATGCTAGAAATGCGGATACAAATAAATAATAGACACTTCAGAAAAATATTCAAAATATAATGATTTCAATACTAAAACTACTCATCGTATTTTGACCTACTTTTGCGAACGAAGACTGACAACTAATTAAATAAAAGCAACAGCATTCAGCATCCTCTTAAACAAACTTTACATACGTGTTAGGTTCTCATTATTAGTTGGAAAATCTTTAAGGTAGGTTAGCATAAGCTAACAAAGGCGTCTAATTACGTTTTTGTTATGCGAAAAAAGGATAGTGCTATTTTGACATTAAACTGGAGAATTCACCGACAGGTAAAGAGAATTGCCAATATATTTTTTCTAAATTCTTTAAGATTTGATAAATATCACTAAAAGTCATCAAATAACTTTATTGTGATTTTTTCAGAATATCACTATCGAACTCCAAAAATTCAATAAATCTAGAGACAAAATCACTAAAGTGGTAACGCTGCTATACGCTATACCCTTAGACCATTCACCCAATGGACGAGTAATGCGCCTAATGCTATGAACAAAAAATCCTGTCACTTTTGGTGCGGGAGAGGACACACTACATAGACAGTACTGCACACCCACTTAATAAAATTTTGTGTCATTATGGCACACACAAATCTAAATCTCCAACACTAACATTTTACACGCACATGTAGGTTAAATACACCACCATAGAAAAAGTTATAAGTTTAATGAGATTAAACACTAACCCTACAGTTGTCGAGTGGATTACAATAGTAAACCACTGTAAAATAATCTGAAATTTGGATATTTCTGGAACCAAATGATTAGAAATAAAAAAATGTAAACCAATTTGTAATCTAACTTTGAAATTAATGTGATATTTTCATATATTAATATGTAAAAGATTTTTTAAATATTATAATTTGAATAAAAAAGAACGTATAAATGGTTTTTGTTTATTCAATATGATTAACCATTGACTAAATGTTACCCTGTTACATATTTATAATAAAATAAAAATACATTTTAATTGATATTTTAAAGCTTTCTTCTTATTTTAAATTGGACTACATACGTAATTCACGCGACCATTTACGTTATTTTATAAGGCGCGACCGCTGCAGGGTTAAGTAGTCTCGTTACAATTTTATTATTTATATGTTGCTAATATAAACTAGTCTTGTTAAGAGTGCCGATGTGCTTGCATGTTCAATTTTAAACCTAATTTGTAACATCTAAGATTTGACTTTAAAAAATAAATATATAACTAATCTCGTGGGGAGTGTGCTTTTCACATTTCGATTATTACTACGATGTTACTAATGGTTGTACTAAGGGTATACCAAAGAATAAAATAAGTATATAAGGGAACGTTATACCTATACGCTTACCAAAGACTACAATATAATACGCTTCTTTTAGTAGGCATGTCGATCTGAAATCGATTAACCGAAAAATCGATTAGGAACACAATATCGATCTGATTAATCGACCCAAAACTCTCCTGAATCGGAATGATTCAAAAACTAGCGATAAAGTTCCTATAGTAAACCAAATCTAAGAAATACCTTTTGACGTTTCATATTAATCATTCCGCAATAACTTTGCACAAGCGTACTTACACGATTTAAAATAACCTTTTACGTAAATCCGAACAATTATGAAGTTATCTATATTTCATTACAACATGTATAGGTTTTCATCACTAATTTAATTTTTTTTAAGTTTTTTAGTTTAT